TCTCTTTCCTCCTCCACAAGAAAAGCTCTTCTCCTCCCGTCGGCGCCGTTGCCGGTCTGTCTCATCTCTGATGGCCTCTAGGCCATGAAGGTGCGGAGGATCTCGGCCCCCTCTCCCCCTCCCCCCCTCCCCGGCGGGAGGGACCCCGTTCTCGTTCTTGTTAGAGGGGTCCTCGTTCTTGTTAGAGTCAGCGTCTTGGTTGGGGCCGTGTGACGGCGGCGATGTCCCTTAGTAGGAATAATGTCTCCCACGTTTTATCCCCGTTCCGATGGTGCGTCTAGTATCGTCGGAGGGCGTGTGGAGATTTGCCTCCGTCGAATCTTGCGGGATTCGGTCGATGCTGGTCTTCGGTGGATCTATTTGGATCCGGTCTTCGTTCGTCTATGTTTAGGTGTTTACAGGTTTGATCCTTCTGATGTACGACTTTCTTCATTGGCTATGGCCTAAGGTTTGCCCGGTTTCGGTGAAGAAGGGGCGATGATGGCGCGCCTTCAATCCACTCCAGTGCTTCTAGTTGTCGCTAGGTGGTCCACGAACATGGTTAGATTGAAAGTTTAAAAAATAATGTCAGTGATGGCAGCGGGGAGCACACCGAGCTAGCGCGCTTTGGAGATCCCTGGAGCAGGGCAGGAGAGCGTCGTCGCGTTCCTAGCTCCCTTGAACCGTGTTCCGTACTGACAGAGCCAAGTTTATGCTACCCTGCCTTAAAAACTGCCATTCGCTGAAATTCTAGATTTGCACAAATTTAAAACCAAACCTTACGCAACATTCCTCTACCGTGCGAGCGTATCCAAGATGAATGCTTATCCACGTATAGCCCAAAAATGCCTGTGGTGGAGGATGTCGTGTTGGGGGTTCCTCGAATCGACGATGTCGATGCGGATGGTTTGTTGGTGCCTGCCCCTAGGAGCCCCTTGGTAGAAGACAATTACATCAAGAAGTACAATGAGTTCTACGACTTTCCTGACAAATGGATGGCTGACTAGTCTGGATCTGGCAACACAAATGGATGCCTCCTCAAGAAGAAACCTAATAGGAAGAAAGCAAAGAGAAACAAAAGCAAGAAGGGCGGCGTCATCTGGAAGGCGCCTGCGATTGTCAGTGTTCTTGTGTGAAGCTCCGTTGTGTTGTACAAGTGTCGAGGGTTGTGGTGCATTGGGAGGGCTCCATGTGCGGTCACGGTGTTTCTTGTTGTGTGAGTAGTGCGTCTTTGGGTTGTTTGTAACGGTTTTCGCCCGGTTTTCCAAAAATTAACTAGGCAATTCTCTTCTTAACTAATCGATGAGGCAAATCTTTTGCCTCCTTTTTGAAAAAAAATGCGTATATGTTCAACTGGAGCGCTGTCCCGCAAATTTTCTAGTGACAGTCAAACTCGTGAAATATGGCATTTTTGGTCTAAAATTACAGATCACTGGATCCAATATAACTCTAGAAACTTTGGTCTCAAATTTAACTGGATTATCAAATTCTTGAATCCACCGACAACAGTGCCACGATCACTTTCAACCGATTTTAATTATACAGGGCATTGCAACTAAAAAAGCACACCAAATTAAGGAAATGCAGACTTGCGCCGCTTTTTTCTAGTCCAATACAATACTCATTCCAGCCGACTGGTATGCAAAGAAGCTGCGTCTAACCGTCTTCACATATCCTTGCAAGATAATCATCGCTTATTTCAGCAGCCGACAGGAAATGGATTATGGCAGGTGACTCAGTGCCCTCTCTGATTTGCTTCTCCACTGAAGACATCTGCTCATCTGTCTTCGGAAACACTATCGGCTTTAGAGGCTCCACGCCTTCACAGTAGATACATGTGACCCTGTCATACAGGTACACATCCCCTAGATTCACCGCTGCTTTCATGACACGCCTGACATGACTCACCATGTATTCTTCAGACTGGAAGCAGAAGAAGGCTAGCTTGGTGAGACGATGGTGCTTGAAATTTGGTGTAGGTGATTCCCACTGGACCCCCTTGTTCTCGCTATACGACTCCCGCCTCCTCACCTTCTCATCCATTTCCATTTCACACGGATGATCAACCACCTGCGTACCACCCATAGGACAAAGGTAAATGGAACAGGTTAATTTTGCATGCCATGTGAAAGCACAGGTGTGTGCAGTCATGCAATGGAGAATAGAGCAACCCCTCAAAAGAAAAGACTGTAGGGAGGAACATAATGTCCTTAAGAATGGAGCAACCCCTCAAAAAAAAAAAAGAACAGGCTTTAGTTGAGAACAAACCGTCATGTAGAGCTCCTCCAGGGACGGTGCCGCTTCCAAGTAGAACATTGTCCAGGTGAGATCATACCCTTCAGGAATGCCAAATAGACGGAGAATCCTTAGTTGGTGGAACACGTGTGCCTGCCTTCCGGCCAAACACTCTGGTTGAACCCAAATCTGCAACAATAAGCACATGATAGGATGAGTAGTGAGCAAGTGAAGCCAGAACAAAAGCAATCATCCGACTTACCTTTTCACATTTAAACCCCAACTTCAGGTCTCGAACAGAGGTCTCGCCAAGAAATGTACTTAACTTGACCATTTTGTGCCGATTATAAGCAACATTTGAAAGGCTGAGAACCTCAAGCAATGGGACATAGCCAAATGACAGTGGTGGTTCGTTGAAAGCGATCCAAATCTCAAACGCCAGACAGGTGAGCTTCGGAAGCCAGGTGAGTTCGACCATGTCAAAACGGCAATTGACAATACTGAGCTCACTGAGTTGTGCGTGCTCAACTTGGAGCGTTATCCAACTCTTTGTGTCGCAATTGAGAAAACCTAAATAATTCAACTGCTTGCAAGTGACGAGGATGTTGGAGACAAAGTCAGATTCAGCGAATCTCAAGTTCTGCAGGCAGAGGCGCGTGAGACCAGCGAATGCATTTAGACACTTGTTGAAAAACAACACAAACCGTTTCCCATAGGTCAGCATATCGCCAATGGTGCACTCTAGGCGTTTCTTCTGTGTCAAAACTCTGAATTCGGCCTTCTCAATTTTGTGTGTCACCATGGCACTGCCAACAGCATGCCCAACTGATAAGGGTGCATCGTCGCTCAAGTAGAACGTCGCACTGAAGAAGCGGATGGTGCATTCGACTGGATCCCTGCGTGCCAGTATGCTCTTTGTCGCTTTGATAACAACTGCATTGGACATTCGAACCAATTCATCATCGGACATGCCGGTTTTAATTTTTGAGGGCAGTATGTCCTGAGCATTTATTCTAAGCTGTGGGAGCATGGCAGGAAGCTGGCTCCACCGTCTCGAGAGGACACTGGTTCTCACAGCGTCGCGGACATCGAGTCGATCAAGAATGTTGACCAGGATATCATTGGGCAAGCTGCTGATCCTATCATCTCGACTGCCTTTCTGCATTTGGCACAGAAGCAAATCAAATATGCAACATTGGTAGTCTCAAAAGTGGCAAGTTTCATAGTCCCCGAGATAAAATTTCTCTACTGTCGCATAGATGCAGCTTTGATCTATTTAAGATAACACAAATCTAATTTCTCTTTTGTACAAAAAAAAGTAGATTTCGATAGGCTAAAAGATGATGCAATTTTGTATCAAAAAACTAAAATTTGATAGACTCAAAAGATTCAATTTTTTATGCTGTCTACTAGGCTGAAATTTGACCCCTGTCTGGCTAAGTATATACTCTCAGGAAAATAAGATATTCAGAGGAAGGAGAGGACAAGGAACTCACCTTAGCATTCAATTTGGCAGCCCGTCGCCGGCGACTAGACTTGGCCATCGCCCGAGTTGCTGGTCACTCCGAAAACTGATGTCTAGGCTGTCCACCAGGCCAGATATTTATATATAGCCGCTAGGTCCTCGCCACCAATTGAGACTCGGAGACTGAATTCGAAAGAGGGCCTGTTTCTGATTGTAATCCGGAAAGGACTGGTTTGATTCCGGATTAGCCACTAAAAAAGGGAGCCGCTTTGATTTCCGACTGCGGCTCAGAGAGGAGCCGCTTGATTGCTTTGATTGCCGGCTGCAGCTCGGAGAGGAGCCGCTTGATTGCGTATCGCCGCTCCCAAAAGAGCTGCTGCTCTTGCTGATTCGATTGGGGACTGCAGCTCCCAAAAGGGGAGCTGCTTATTTGGTCGCCTGTTCGCAAGCAGCACTGGATCCTCATTCGAGGCATCCGACGGCGATTGCGACGGCGAGAGGGGGAAGATGGGCGCACGGCAGGAGGCGGCGGCGCATAACTGACCCCCGATCCCCTTTTGCTCTCTGGTGGAACCCTAGGTGGGAGGAGGGGGCGGCGTGGAAGGGAGGAGGATCGCCATTTATATACTGCGGCCTGCGATGGAGGAATGGTGGGCTAAGGCCCATTGTTCATCACCCCTAAAAAAATGTGTGCATGCGGCCTGCCATGGAGGGATGATGTGCTAAAGCCCAATGTTCATCACCATTTATATATGCGGCGTGGTTGGGAGGATCACCATTTATATAAGCAACCTGCTAATGACAGAAAGTTGCAAGCAAAAACATCCCTAGTGTGCGTCTGCATCACCCCTAAAAAAAATGTGTATGTGCATCCCTTTCTTGTAGTACTTCGCAAAAATGTAGCCATTCGACTACTGACACAGATCCGCCAGCAAAACGTTTTAAAAAAAAGAACTATATGGTGCAAGTACAAGAAAAATCACTTTGCTGGACGAGCTCTAGACGTGAGCCCTATTTTTTTAGTAGCGCCAAAATGGTATTTCAAAGTTTTTCAAAAAATTCCAAAAAAAATCAACATGTTTATATGGATGTGCTACTACACGTGTGCAAATTCTGATGATGAAATAAGTAGCCATGTGAGTTACGTAAAAATGACAAAATCGTAATTTTGTAAAGATGAACATTGCTTCTATTATTCACTATTTAGAAATCACCATTTTGTCATTTGTGTATAGCTCGCATGTTTACTTATTTCATCACCAAACTTTACACGTGTGTAATATATATCCATATGATCATGAAGAATTCTTTTTTTAATTTGATTTTAAAAATATTTAAATTAAATTCCTCCAATGCACCCGTGCAAAAAAAATAAAAAAATCCACTCTCGCAAGTACTTCCCTGCATTGTTTGTTTTTCACATGTAACCTGCATGAAAAGCACACCCACGAAACCACACTGGATACTATCGCCCTTTGTGGATGCGAGCTTTTTTGCTGATTCTAATAAAGGTGCAATTGCGAGTATCACAAGGAATCCTCATCTTACCTGTCTAAGATCAGAGAATCCATTACCGACCGTAAAATTGCATCGCGTGTAGTCATCCCGTTTCATCTGCATAGATAATCCAAGACTCAGAAATAGAGCTGAAATATTCTTTCAGTATCAGAAAACAACGGTTCCTAAAAATTTAAATTCATCCATGGCAGCAACTAGTTTAGCATGCACACTCCACAAACAAGAAACAATATAGTATTTAAACATATCAGCAGTCTGTCACTGCCTAAGAGGCAGATCAAGAGGTATTACACTAGGAAAACTAAATTAGATCATAGATTGTACTACTCACAGAAGTGGGAAGATTAGCAATGTGAGACAGTGAGAGTGCCCATCTGCTGATATCATTTCAACAGCTATTTGATGGCCACCTGGTGATTCAGACTCAAGAAGGCAAATTATGTAGTGGGATTGATCAACTATACCTGCCATGTGTGAAGTTTTAGAACAAGAGTTAGAACTAAGAGCATATAATAAGATTATGCGTGCACAAGAAGAAAACAAACCCACCTCTACAGAAATACTGCACGGTGAAAAACAAGTCTTCTAATGTTTTGACTATTTTTTGCATCCTCCTAGTCGGATAGCCTGTTCAAGGCCACTGTCACTATCTTCAGTCTAACAAGTCTAGCCACTGACACTATCTTCAAGGCCAGCAGCCGAATCCCACCTTACAAAAATCAAACTTTACATCCTACCTAAGGCATCACCTAAACCACATTCCTCCTACTCCAGCATCTACACTACTCCGCACGAGCTACACATTCTCCTCCGTGCGACGGGAGCTGTTCATCAGGTCGTCAAACACTAATCTACCTCCTCCAATGAGTTAGTTCGCAGACGAAAAATAGAGGTCATTCTCTTACTCTTCTAAAACTTGAAGTCCATCTTCCTGCTCTTCTTCTTCCAAGACAACCACAATGGCTAGCTCCCTTCCCCGCCGATCTTCCCGCTCCTCTTGCTCTTGCCCACGCAACAATGAAAATTAGAAACTAAGTGTCTACTGCACTATTTAATTGAAATAAAAAAGCTGGTAACTGGCAATTAAAATAACTGGCAACAAAAGAACAGAAGTATAGAGAATTACCTTGAGATGGTGTCAACAGACATAATGCCTTCTTCTATTTCCCCATGAATAATTAGTTCCTCCTCCTCTTCTTCCTCTTCATCCTCTTCGTCGTCCGAATCTACCCAGCGTTTGCTGCGATCCAGAGGTTCTTCCTAGATAATCGCAGAAAGCAAATGTTAGTGCTGCTCACGAAAACCACAATACACTGCAACTAACTTTATTGACAAGGTTTGACTTGCTGCAGGAATCCAAAAAACATGTTCATATACTGGGATATGGTACAAAGAAATAATAGCAGGTTTGGATTAGGTAAGGTACCTCATCGGGTCCATCACCAAAAGTGTCTCCACGAGAGATTGGGGCATTTAAACCTGGGATCTTCAGATAAGGATAAGAGGTTGGAGGACCAACGAACTGGCAAAAATGAAGCGGGGTCAACTGGCTAATGATGAAAGCATTGCCAATAAGAAAACCAGACAAACATAGGTTAGTTAATACATACCTGCATCCTGGTAAGCCATGGGGGCAGGGCACCATCAGGCATACCAAGAGCTTTCTTAAGCTCCTGGTACAGCATACCTGGTTTCATTATCTTAAGCTTCAGCTGTAGAATGTACAAGTAGAACTTATCATCAGAACCATATATGGACTCATGGATGGTCTCTGCCTCTTTTATTTTTGCTGTGTAAATATTGTAGAGTACATACCTCAAACTCTTTCCCTTCAAATGCAGATCACCATGACTAGTCAACTTGGGTTTTGTTTGATATTTGAAGAATGCATCATGAAAAACCTGTGGAAAACAAAACATTATTAGCCTTGAATGACAACCATGGTACAAACTGATAACTGGGCAGATCTAATATATTAAAGTTAAATCAAATATCAGTTACACACCAGCACTAGCATAATTAGTTGTGTAAGTTTCCTAAACATTAGAATGGCACTCAGGAAGTTACTCTCATGGGTTCATATTTGCAGATAACTCAGGGAGAATTTAGGTTTGCATCAAAAAGAGAGCCTAAAATACAAACACAGCAAGAAAACTAGAGAGGGCACTAAAAAAACTATCCTATATACACTACACAGACCATTCAAGTAGTGCAACACCATTTTCAGCTTCCTCGATTGTAACAGCAGTCTCTGCAAGAATTAAACATCCATATATGAAGGGTGAAACATGTTGGACATTATGGGCATGTTTGGTTTGCTGCCCCAAATAGCCAAGCCACAATTTTTTGTAAAGCATAATCAAGAGTTCAGTATGTCTCCAAAATGACAGTAAAGCTGAGATAATTGGAGTACAGACAATGACAAGTTCTCTAGTTGTTGCTGTGGCAAATGTGTCCCACATGTCATATACTAGTACTTTCTATCAAAATATAGTTAATGTAGGACTTGGTTTACTGATTAAATCACAAGGTATATAGCTGTTAAAACAACAAAAGTTTAAATCCTTCAAGTCCTACATTCTCCTCCTCCTCGCCCTACCAGCAACAAAAGTTTAGTCCTTCAAGTCCCGATTCCAGTTCAACCAGAAAGCTGTTACCACGCACCAAACCCTCACGCCCAAATTAAATCACCGAAACCTCTTCATAAACCCTACACTATTTCTTAGAAATGAGCAGAAAGGGAGGAGATGAGGACCCGGAAACCGCGGGAGGTGCGGCGCAGCGGCGGCGGGGGCTCCTTGAAGCCGAATTTCTCGAAGACGGCAGCGGAGGCGCCAAGGAGGGGGGTCGCCGGCGTCGAGGCCGGGCTTCTCCGGCACGCACTCTGCCCCCATCTGCGGGAACACAGGCGTTAGGCGCGGTCCGAGCAGACTATGGAGCGGCGGAACCGGAACTCGCCTGGGGGCAGGGTCGGGGCCGGGGCTGTCCTTTGAGCCCTCGCCCGCCGCGGCATTGGCACCCGCAGCCCTGCTCTTCCCGGCCCTTCCGCGGCAGCGGCGGAGGTGCCGGCCGCGCCCGGCGTCCCTCGGCTTCGGGCGCGCGGCATCAGCCGCCGCGGCGACGGTGACGGCGGTGGCTGTTTGCTGTCGACGTCGGCAGAAGCAAGGCGACGAGAGCGAGAGGAGAGACGGGCTTTGCAGCGGGCGCGACGAGTTGAGCTATGTGCCGCCCACTGCATGAGTTGAGCCGGCCCGATAACCGCGCGCCATCTGACACCATGTTCTTTTTGTTTTTTCTCCCTTTTTTACTCACATTTCCCCCTTTTTTGTTTTTTATTTAAAAATTTATATTTACAAATATTCTAAGTAGATATATTACAAAAAACACTTCACATAAAATATAGAAAAATGTAACCATGTATGAAAAATGTTAATCATCTCTAGAAAAATGTTTGTGACATTTTTAAAATGTGACATGTTTAAAAAGCACGTACATGAAATTTTAAGAAATGTTTATATAATGTAAAAAAATGTTTGCATAATTTAAAACCATGTTTTGAAC